GATTGGGTTGCTATCGGCCGGAATACGAGGTAGGTGGGGGATATAATAATAAGGAACAAGGATGTGGGTGTGTGAATGTGTGTCGCGTGAATTTGTAGGGCCCGAGAGGGCCCCATCACGGGCCAAGAGGGCCCCAAAAAGCCCCCAAGACGATCCAAGAGGGCCCCGAGACGCTGAACAATCGCTTCACGACGCTCAAGATGGCCCCAGACGACCCAAGAGAAGGAAGCCAAAAGAGGGAGCACGAAACAAAAATCCGAGCCTTCCGCACAAGAGGCCCTCAAGAGACCCCAAGCGGCAACCAGGAGGCACCACGAGGCCCTCAAGAGGCCCCAAAGAGGCCCCCAAGAGGCCCCCTACGAAGCCCCCAAAGCAGGCTTCGCACCCACAACCCAGGCACGGTGGCGAGATGGGCCGAGGGCCATTCGATCCGCCGCCCCCTGTTGGCTTGCCACAAGGGTGCCCGGCGTGCTAAACCCTTTCGATTTGGGTTCTTTTAGAAAACTCACTGGGGCTTCGGCCCGTCCCGCCGGCACGGAATGAGGACCCGTATAGTTTCCAGGTCGTCGGTCTTCCCGCGCCAGACGGCCCCAAGATGGCCTCCAAGACGGCCAAGATGGTTTCCAAGATAGCCACGATGGCCCCAAGAGAACCCAAGATGATTTGCACATGCTTCCAAGACGACCCAAGATGCACCCAAGACGGCCCAAGATGGCCTCAAGATGGCCCAAGATGGCCCTAAGAGGCCTTCCAGACGGCCCAAGAGGCCTCCAAGAGTTCCTCCAGGAAGGCCCGAAGAGGCCAAAATCACTCATGTTCCTGAGGTTTTCGAAAGATGTTGGCATTTGCGCCTTGTCGGCCTTCCGACGGCCCAAGACGGCCCAAGAGGCCCCCAAGGTCGCCCCAAGAGGCCCCCAAGACGGCGACCTCCAAGACGTCCAAGATACTCTCCAAGACGGCCCTGAAGCGCCCCAAGAGAGCCCCAAGTCGGTTCAGAGAGGCCCCCAAGACGGCTTCCGACGGTGTCAGTCGGGTCGGGAACGCCCTAAGTCGGCCAAAGAGGCCCCCAAGAACCCTCCAAAAGCCCCCAAGAAGCCCCCAAGAGGCCCAGGGAGGCTCCCAAGAGACCTCACAAGACGGTTCCCAAGAAGTCTCCTCCTCCTACTCCTCCTCCTTCCCCATCATCCTCATCCTCATCCTCATCCTACTCCTGATCATCATCCTCCTCCCTCTCTTGATCCTCCTCCTATTGCTCCCCCAAGCGTTCCCCGAAGGCTTTCCAAACCGACTCGGGGAGCAACTGGCCCGATAGCTTGGCCAAGCTCTAGCCCAGCTGTCGGCCACATAGGCGCTTCCAAAGAGGGGGCGACGGTGATTCGCTGTAGGCGTCTTCGATAAGTTGTCTTTGCGAAATAATGTCGCGTCGGGAGAGAAACGATCGGGAAAAGGCATCGGCAGGCCACGGCCAGTGCCTGGCGACAAAGATGAATCCTTGTGCAACGCCACCCGTCGCAATCGACGTGAACATCGCCTCCCCCCACCTCCCCGACTACATGAGGAACTCTTGCACAGTGATGACGGACGGGGAATCGGTTGGAGGGTGGGCCTGCAAGCCACATGGCCCTGAAACGATGTCCACCATCGAATGAGGCCGACGCTGGTCGGCTCACGGACCCTAGATACTATCAGCACAAGTACGCTTGGATGTGTCTGCACACCTGCTGATCTCCTATCCCCCCCCCTTTCCACGATGGATACATCCACCACCGTGCCCCCTGGCGCGTGGTAAAGCGGTATCATACGGGTGGTGTCTGACTGGGTGTCTGCGGCTTCCTAAAAACACCATGCGCCCTGCTATCGCCTTGCTACATGCACCGCGACCACTCTCGAGGCGCGGTGCCACGGCCCACAATGCCCACAACGGCTTGCGGCACGGTCCAGGAACACCACCAGGGATGGTTACAGCCCGACAGCCCCTAAGAGTAGAAACAGAGAGAGAGAGAGAGACGGAAAGTAGAGAGAGGGAGAGCGTGTGTGTGTGTGTGCGTCTGTGAGAAAGTGAGGGAGAGAGAATCTATACCATAGAACAAGCGAGTAGAAGACACGCGTAAGATAGTTAAAATTCCACAGTCAGCGCTTGCACCGAGGGTCGCAGCGGAACTTGATTCAACAAGTGGAGATACCCTGCCGATATCGGTGTGCGGCCGAGGGCCCGGGGTCCTGATTTCAGTAGGTCGTTGGGTTCCTGGGCCTGCGCCTGACAAGTCAGGCTGCGGTCGGCGGACAGCCAGAGCGGGCAAACATGATACATGCCAGAGGTCCGTGGGAAACCACTGACCAGGTACGTTTTAAAGCACACCCTCCTCCTCCTCCTCCTCCTCCTCCTCCTCCTCCTCCCCTTCTCAGTATTATCCTCATGAATTCGACCCGATATTAGTTCATCAGGCTGCTCTACGCCTGCCTGAAGAATCCTGGCCAAGAGTCCCCTGGCATCTTCAATAACCAATGGTCAGCCGTAGGGGCTTCGGTAGTTCCAACGCGTTTTCACACGCATGCTCATTACACATGCATTTTGACTGAGGGGGGATTCGCTACTTGATCGTACTCAAAAAGCGATGCGCAGCGCATACATTACCGCGAGAGAGAACATCAATGTAACCATTGTGTACACACACGCGCGCATCTTAGTTCCGAGAATAGCTGTGACTCAACTGGTTGCTGCATGCACACAGCAAATCCGCCGACCCTGTCGGCGTGTGTGAGGGGCTTCGTCCATTCGATGTCATCTCCGTCATTCGTTTGTCGTCGTCTCTGTCGTCCTCATCCCCCCCTTTCCCAGGGACCGCCTCAGCCCGTCATTCGTTTGTCGTAGTGGCTGTCGTCCTCTTCCCCTCCTTTCCCAGGCGTTGAGAAACGCCGTAATGGAGTCGAAGGGAAGCCCCTTCCCTTCGATCCCTCCCCCGCCGGGGGGAGGGTAGGGTAGGGGGGGGGGCCCGGGGGAGGGGTCCCGGGGGGGGGGTCAGGTACGACGCTCTCCCGGGGATTCCCGGAACTCAAAAGAGTTCCAAAAAGAGCCAAGTGTGGTCTAATATGCCCCACAGACAGTCCACGAGAACCCCGACTCGCCTGACGATCTGTCCAAGACGCCTTCACGGCTTCCAGACGGCCGGTAGTCTCTCCTCCTCCTCATCCTTCTCCTCCTCCATGTTCGTCGACGCTCCCCTGTCTCCTCCTCCTCCTCCTCCTTTTCCCCCTCCTCCTCAAGGGAAGGTCGAAGCACGCCGGCGGGCGTGCCTCACGGGCTGGAAGTAGCCCCTGGCCTCGGATGACCCTGCCGCCCTGCCGTTCGCTTCTGGCCGTCCGAAAAGTGCAGTGTGACGAGGCAAGAAGGCCGACGATGACCAGGAGGAGCAGAAGCATGATGGTGAGAAGCAGAAGGAGATGGTGAAGGAGAGGGAAGGGGAAGAAGAGTCCGAGAAATGGATGGGGATGAGAATGAGGAGGCACACGATGAGCAGCAGGAGCTGGAAGAGGGCTTTTGTGTACCAGCTCCGTGGGGGGTCTGCTGGCCAAGGGGGCGGGCCTCGCACTACAGCCTGCGCGTTACCAGAAGGAGCACCAAACAAGGAACGGAGGGGCTTTTTTCTGGCCACGGTGAGCCTCGGCCAGAGACAGATAGGTCCCCGACCTAGATCTTAGAGGCTCTTAGAGGAACGACCCGAACATGAGAGCCCTGCCTGCGCCCTCGATGGCCCTAACGGTTCAGTGTCTTGACTTTGAGGGGGCAACCGTCTGGCGAAGGATCGAGTGGCTTCCCAGCACGCTGCCCGCTGGAGCCCGAGCACGGAGGACGGACGGGGTCTGCACCCACCAGGGGGGGGGGCCGGGGGTCCAAAGGTGTGCTCCCAGCGTTTCGTTCCGTCTTTGGAGCCCCTGGGGCTCTCTGGGCCTCGTGATGGGTGCTCTGGAGGCCTTCGGGGCCTCCCGGGAAATCCTCGGGACACCTTGGGCCAGGGAAACCATTGGCAACTCCAGAGACGAGGAGAGAGAGGGTTAGAAAGAGGGGCCAAGTCAGAGGGAATGCAACGAGCCCTGGCGTCGCCGATAAGATCTCTCCTCCTTGCCGATGGATCCGCGATCGATCGCGCCTCGGCACTTCCCTGGTGGAGACGGGCGTCCACGACCCAGCCTCGCCAGAGCGGCCTCTCGACCTGCCTTGCCTCTCGCAACATCACGTGCGCCTCCTCCTTCTGGAAACCGTTGCTGCCGAGAACGTCTGAAGGGGGGGAGGCAGACATCGGGAAGACCACGGACGCCGCAGACCGCGGCATCGAGCGATGCTGAGAAGGCCGCAGCGCTGGCGCCGACGCCTGGGCATCCGGCGACAGCAACACCGAGATCTTCAGCACGCGGCTCGGCGCCGCCTGCACCGCCGGGCCTCCTCCTCCTCCTCCTCCCCGATCATCGATCCTCGAGGTGTGAGGCTCGAATTGTTTGCCCCCTTTCGGTGCTCTGCCAGTCTCTGGGGGGAAGCTTCGGGGAGCTCACCGCCGGCAGCGGGATGGTGGTGGCCCTCGGGTGCGGGGTCCTGCGTGACGTGGTGGGGGCTGGCGCGTGGCGAATATGCGGTATCCGCCGCCGTGCCCCCTGGCACGCTGAGGCGCAGTCGGATGCCAAAGGCTGCCTGACAGGGTTTCTGTCATCTTCTGGCCACGGACTGGTGCGTGCACCGCACCACCTCCCGAGGACACGATCCCTGGTGAAAAAGTCGCAGGAACACGCTACAGAAGCCTAGATGCGCAGTGAAACACTATGGGTCTGCGCTCCCTGCGCCATGACCCCACATACAGAACAATGGATCCGCGCCATCGAGGCCCCGATCCGTTGTAACAAACGATGGCTCCGAGCTCCCGAGCTTCCGAAACGGCCGAGAGAGGAAACAAAGTGCGCCACGAAGGTCCAATAGATCTCCAAGACGGTCCAAGATGGCCCCAAGGCGGCCAAAACGAACCTCAAAATGACCACCAGGAGGGCCCGACGAGGCCACAGTTACTGATTTCCCGAGGTATTGCAAAGATATGACCCCAAGACCGCCCAATAGCCAATAGTGCCCAAACATTGTCGAATAATCCTCCAAGACGGCCCGAAGACAGCCCAGCAGGGCCCCTGGACGGACCAGGGCGGCCCAAAGAGAGCCTCAAGCTGGCCCAAGAGGGCCTCCCGAGGGACCCAACGGTCCTGGAAGAGAACCCGTCGACGGCCCAAGACGGCCCAACGAGGGCCGCAAAGGACCGCCCATACGACCAAGAGGGCCCAAGACGGCCCCACAGGTCAACAGAGGACAGAATAAGGGGAAGAGGACGAGCAAGACGAGAAGAGAACCCCGACGCAACGCGGCAGACCGTGTCACATGCTGCAGCTATCCCAAGCCTCGAGGCACGAAGCGCCACACTCAGGGGGGCGTAAGACCCGGGTACAGGGGACTCGGAAATCCCCGGCGAGGTCGTCAAAAAACTGACGAGGCCGAGCCTGCATTTTGACGAGGCCTCCCGCTGCAGACATCCCACGGAACTCCTCCTCGTCAAAATCCGAGGCGCGGTCGTCAAAAAACGATGGCGAACCCGAGTCCTGGCAAACCCAGGTCTTACGCTCCCCCGACACACGTCACGGCTTCCTGTGCGCCCCTGGGACTCGCCGCATGCAGCTGGACACTTGTATCTCCGACAGAGAAAAACTCATGCAGGCACGCGCTCGTGCCTGGAGTGTGTGTGTATATGTGTGTAGGCGTGCGTGTGTGTATGTGTCTGTGTGTGCGTGTGTGTATGGTTGTGATTGTGATTGCGATTGCGTGTGCGCGTGCTGTGCGTGAGCGTGTGCGCGTGCGTGCGCAAGTGAGTGCGCGTGTGCGCGTGCCTGTGTAAATGTGTGTGTGTTTGTGTGTGTGTATGTGTGTGTGATTGCGTGCGTGCGTGCGTGCGTGCGTGCGTGCGTGCGTGTCTGCGTGTCTGCGTGTCTGTGTGTCTGTGTGTCTGTGTGTCTGTGTGTCTGTGTGTGTTTGTGTGTCTGTGTGTCTGGGTGTCTGGGTGTCTGCGCGTGTACGTGCGTGCGTGCGTGCGTGTGTGTGAGAAAGGAGGCCTCGGGACCCAGACCTCCGACGGCACAATCTTTTTGTCCGCGGAGTTTCTCCTTTTCGTTTGGCCTCCAGGGGCACTTTCTGGGGTCCAAGGGTTGACGGCGCGCCCAGGGGGGTAGGGGGAGATGGGGAAAGCTTCTGAGAAGGAGGCCGTTTCTTAGGAGGTGCCGGCCCGACATCTACAAACGAGGCCTGCGCCTTCCAAGAAGCAGGGGCGCTTGTAAGAAGCACTCGCCCCTCCCCCTGCTCCCCTGTGCGCGTGGCCGACAAGGCCATCAAAAAACCACCCGGGACGCAAAACCGCCCCCCGGGGGAGGGGGTCGGGGACCCCCAGCGGGGTCGCGGGTGGAGGACGAAGCGGGCGCCGGAGGCACCGGGCCGCAGGGGGACCTCACTACAGCGCTGCCCGCACGCGTCGGGCACAGAGGCCCACCCTTGGGAGGCAAGTCGGGGGGGGGCGAAACTTAAGGGTAGGATAGCAAAGGGTAGGATGGAGAATCAGCTCACGTAGCTGGTTTTCCTGGCGCGCCGGGAGGCGCCCATGCATCGAGGCATGTGTCCGGCGGCGGGGCGGAAACTAGCTGCAAGCATCAGATTCCTTTTCGCTTCGCTCAGTGGGAACGCCAGTCAGTGCCTGAAACGCCCCAAACAACACCGCGGGCCGCCACCGCGCGGGCCCGCTCACACCTTGGAGGTGGGTGGAGAACCCTCCCGGGTCACGACCCCCAGAGGGGGAGGCCCCAGCCGGGGAGGCTGAGGGGGGCCCAGAGGAGACCTGCGCAACCAGGGAGGGCAAAAAGACAGGCACGGCAGAGCCGGTCCCCTGGACAAGACTCCCAGACGAGGGACCCCCGGCCGGGAAGGCTGGGTTGCTGCTCATCCAGGGGAAGGGGCGGAATGCAATTCCCCCAGGGCCCCGGTGCACCGCCAGACACCGAGGCACCCCTCCGGGGGCATGCATCAGATTCCGTACCCCCCCTTTACCCATCCTGCCCGTCGTCCGGCCCGAGCAGCCCTGGCCGTCCTACGCGAACCGCCGTCTCGGCCGCCTCCGTCCTCGGCGCGCTGCCCGACCTCGCCGTCTTTCGAGACTTTCCAGCCTGCGACCTTTCACGGCACGTCGCCGCCTCTGCTTCCGCGTCGTCCTTGGCCTCCTCGTCATTCCAATCTGCTCTCTCGCGCTGCGGGAACAAGAGAACCTGCATAAGCATAAGCAGTTGAGGGTCCGCGCGGATCTCTTGGATCCGCGCCGGGCCCCCCTCCAGGGGCGGCGCCCCCGGAGCCGATCCCGACAACTCCGCGCGGAACTCCAAACTTTCATGCTTGTGCCGTTTTTCCGCTCGTCTAACAGTGGGGCCAGCACCACCCCGCCCACAACCGCGCACGTCGATCGAACGGACAGCTTGCCTTTGAAATGCGGCCAGAATCCGGGGGCCACGCTCCACCCGAGCTGGTCCCGAGCCTGGCCGTCAGAGGGAGCGAGCAGCACAAGCTGCTCGACAACCCTCTGCCCCGAGGCAGTCTGGCGGGCAGCCAGCCATCGGATCGCAGAGGGGATCGAAGAAGACGCTGAATGGGGAAGGCAAGAGGGAAGCGAACAGTGGCAGGGGCGAAGAAAGGGCTCCGATTTGACCCACCTTGATGAAGGGCAACCAAAGGGGGGGACTGGCATACGGGGGGACGCATCGACCTGGCATCGGCGATACATCGCCGATAGATCGGCGATAGGCCCCCGATAGCGAAACCGCGCATTCCTGCGCGGGGTGGGGCACGACCCCAACTCACCCCTGCAAGATGCCGCATTCCGTGGCCAGCCAGCGGAGGGGGTGGAGGAAGGGGGACAGACAAGCGACAGGCCAAACCTGGGCGGAGCCAACACGGAGGGGGACCCTGGCGAGGAGGACCCATCCCTCCCATTGCCGTGCGCAACCCGGCGCGTTCCTCGCTGCCCTCGGCCGGACGCGGAGGGAGGCCCGAGCCCGACTGCGCCCCCTGGGCACTGGAGACCGCGCGCCACCAGGTCGAAGTGACCTGCGACCTGCACGACTTGGCCCCAGACGTCGCCAGTGGCGCGCCTCCCAGCTCCTGGGATCGCGTGCGGGGTGCACGGAGACGGCGGCGTCAGAAATCCCAGCGGGCATCTGGAGACACGCCGCGACTCCACTCAAGTCCTTGCCGCGCCCTGCGGCGTCCCTGGTCAGAGTTTGGAGGAGGCGGAGGAGGAGGAAGAAGGGGACGAGGAGGGTGTATGAGAACCTGGTGGCCCTCTGCCCGCGTCGGCTCCTCCGGGGGCTGATGTGGTCATCGGCCTGGCCGCGGTTCCTGGGCAGCCCTCTGGCCCCGAGTGTCCCCCCAGGCCGCCCCGAGGGCCAAGGGATCTTTTCTCGTCAGGAGAATGTCAAGCTCATTGGTTCGGGCGCGGATGGCGGCGACAGATATCAGCGGGCCTCACCTGGCGGAGACGGCGACGTCAGAGACCAGAGCGCTCCAGTCGAGCCTGCATTTGGATAGCCCTTCAGGCCCGAGGTGGCACCCCCAGGTCGCCCCGACGACGAGGGGGCCCTTTCTCCGCAAGGCGTTGCCACGCTCAGGGGCTCGTGGCGGCGATGGCGGTGACACAACCGACCAGACATAACTGGGGGAGCTGTGGTACTTACCCCCCTGGGGGAACCCATCGCATCGACGATCTCTCGAGAGGGGTGTCGAAATTGATGGGTCCCCCAGGGGGGTCAGGACCACAGCTCCCCCAATTGTGGCTGGCATGCACAAACCAGCGGGCCTCACTCGGCGGAGGCGGCGGCGTCAGAAACCAGGGCGCTGAAGGCGAGTCTGCGCCTGGACACCCCTCCGGTCCCGAGGCGGCCCCTCCAGGCCGCCTCGGGACGGGAGGGCTGTCTCCACGAATTATTGACGCGCTCAGTGGCTCGGGCGGCGATGGCAGTGACAGAGACCAGCGGGCTCCACCTTGCGAGGGCGGAGACGTCCGAAATCCGAGCACGCTGCTAGACTGCACGCAGCCGTTGCCACGCTGGCGCACAACGCGCACTTCTTGAGCAAGAGGGCCAGGCTCGACCGATGTGTTTGGCTGGCCCGACCCGATGTCCACTGCAGCGCCTGCGGGGGCCAGATCTACGGTGCTGTGTGCGGGCCACCAGGTGAGCCCCTTCACTTCGGCTGTTGGCAGGCCGCAACTTGTGCTCGTGGCGTGGCGGGCCCCCTGCTTCGCGCGACTTCCCTTTCTGGGACGCGCACCTGAGACTGTCGCGGCCCCAAGCACCATGTGAGGCGGCTCGCCCTGCGCCTCACATGTGGCGCACCTGGCTCTCGCGCTCGGTGGCGTACCTGGCTTCCCCTCGCCCGCCGCCGCAGCTCCCCTGCTGCGCTCGCCCGCCGCCTCCGCCCCCCCCCCGCCACCGCGCGCCTCCGCGCCGTGCGGCTCGCTGCCTGGATCGCGCGCTGTCCGTCGGGGCGGTGCGTGACCCGGTTTCCCCTGACCTGCTGCACCGATCAGGTGCGTGCTACCTGGGCGCGGCTCTCCTGCCGCGCATCGCTGCCGCCTCCCTCCTCACCCCGCCGCCTCGCGACCCATCGCAGTGCGGCAGCTGGCAAGCCCCCGGCGCCCGCCAGTGCCCTGCCCCGCTCCGCGCCCTCCGTTTCCCGGACTGGCCCCGCTCTGTGGTGCAGTCCGCCTTCGGGCCTGGTACCCTTGGTCGTCGCATTGACCCTCGCTGCTACAGGGACGGCCGTCTCTGTCCTGGTGGCCCGCGCCCCGGCCGCCTGCTGCCCCGCCGCCGCCCCGCTCCCTGAGGCGCTCGCAGCCGCGCCCCTGGCCTAGATGCCGCCTCTCGCGCCGCCCCCGAGCCGCTGGCTTCGCACTTGCACGAGTGCGTTTGGATTGACGAACAATGATTGACAGCATTTTGTTTGTGGCTGTCCCTGGGCGCCTGTAGTTTCGTCATGCTTCCCCTTGCCCTGCCACGCGCCTCTGGCCCTGGCCCGCCCAGCGCGCGCTCCCAGGTCCCCTGCCGCCGCTGCGCCGCTGCTGCCGCCCCGGCCCGCTCATGGTGGAATTATTTCGCCCCTGAGCGCATCTTCCTTCCCTTCCGCCCGCGGCCCCTTTGTCCTCCCCCCGCTATTGCACGCTGGGCAATTCGCTTAGTAGTGGCCCTATTTCGCTCTTTCGCTGGTGCGGATTGCCCCGCCTCGCCGCCGACGAAAAAAGCGGGGTGGGGCTATCAGACCCCTGTCGGCCCTCAATGGGCGACTAGGGGTCAATGCATCTCTGATGAGCAGGGAAAGGGAGGGGTCGGAGCGGGAGAACGGGGACGAAGGAGGGGGAGCAGACAAGCGCGTTCCACCACTCGCAGGGTAATTAACTACTCGCACATGGCCCAGATCCGCCACGGGGGACCGAAGCGACCCCTTACATCGCGGCAAACATGCGTTTTGTTCGGACGTTTCTGGGTAGGCACTTGCGAGGTATAGTAGTGGGGAGCGAGACTGTATATTGACTTGGGCGCGAATTAATGGGGGGCGATAGATGGTGGGAGGGGGGAGAAAAGGTGCCCTTTTCGGGCCCCAAAGGGCCCCTTCTGGGAGCTAAAAGGTATTTTTTCTGCAGCCATCGCTGTCCCCCATTCATCGCACCCCCATTACGCGCCACCCAATTGACGCCGAGTTTCGGTCCGCCGGTCCATCGCGGTCGCGGCGCGGCATCTGGGGCCTCGCTGCTCTGGCTGGTGGCCTGGGGAGCGGGTACCAGCGCACCCATGCGCATGAGGCTCACCTGCGAGAGGCGGCGCTGACGTTCCGTCCGCCCCCTCCCCGCCTCCGCGCGTCCAGCACGCCCTCCCCCACGTTCCCTCCGTGCCTGCGTGGAAGAGGGAAGAGCGGCGGGGAGAAATGAGATGGAGCGATGTGGCGCTGAGCCCGCCCTGTCGGACCAACCCCTCGCTTCCGATATGACTGACACCCAGACTCAGAATCCCACCAGCCCTCTGGGCGTAGGTGGTTTAGGGAGTTTCCTCTTCCAACCTCCTTCTTCCCCTTCGGGGAGGGGTTTACTCCTCCCCCTACCCCCTCCCCTGGACGTGGACGGGGGGTTTCGCGAGGTGTCAGGGCGTCCAAAACGGCATCGGCGAGGAAGCCAAAATCATTGGTTTTACCAAAAGGTTTTGGCCCCATCTTGGCCTCCTGAGGGGGGGACCCTAACTAGGGACCCCCCCTCCTGTGATCGATCTCACCCAAGATGGCCCAAAGAGATGGCCCCCAAAGCTCCCAAGGGTGCTCCAAGAAGGTAGCCAGGAAGCCCCAAGAGGCCCCCAGGATGCCCCCAAGAGGCTCCCAAGAGACCTCCAAGAGGCCCCAAGAGACCCCACAGAGGCACCCAAGATGCTCCAAGAGGCCTCGGCGAGAATGCCAAATCATTGATTTCACTAAGGTTTTAGCCACATGTTGGCCTTTTCGGGGGGCACTGATTAAGATGACTCCAAGAGCGCCTGGGAGAGCCCAAGATGACCTCCAAGATGGCTCAAGATATCCCACGATGTCTCATAATGGCTCCCACGATGCTCCAAGAGGCCCCAAGACCGCTCCAAGACGGCTCCAAGTGGCCAAAGAGCTCCCCCAAGAGGCCCCGAAGAGGCCTTGACTTTAGGAAAATCTATGTGTTTGGCTTTCTCGCCTTTTCGCTTCCGATGGCCATCCGAGGCCTCAAGATGGCTCCAAGATGGCCCAAGAGGGCTCCAAGAGAGGCTCAAGAGAGCCCCAAGACGGCCCCAAGAGCGCCTAAGAGCGCTCCAAGAGCGCCCCAAGAGGCGATGTTTTGGGCTCCCGAGGAGCAACGCTAACTAATGTTCGCTGCTTGTTTGATCGATGCCCTCCAAGATAGCCCCAAGAGCGCTCCCAAGGCTCCCAAGAGCGCTTCAAGAGGGCCCCAAGAGGCGCCCAGGAGGCCCCAACAGGCGCCCAAGAGGCCTCCAAGATGCTCCCAAGAGACGCTCTCCGAGGCACCCAAGATGCTCCAAGAAGCCTCCACTGGGGGACCCTTCCTCTGTGTGCTGCCCACTTCCCTAATCGAGGCAATTCCTCTGGGCATCGTTTCTGGATGGGCTGGTGGGGTTACGCGAAGCGTCTAGAATTTGTATGATGATCCAACCGCTTGCTGCACGCGCCGGCTGATACGACTGGAAGAGCTGCAATTTGTTTGACCCTCGTGGACACTCTGCCGTTCTCCAGTCCACTTCCTGGCACTTCCTCGAACATGTTGTCGCGACCCTCCCGCGAAGGCACATGTGGAGCGGCAAACCTTTGACTTCTTGCGGTGCTTGATCTCCCCCGCCGGACAGAGGTGACAATAGCCGCAGTC